CAACTTGAAGTTTTCACGTTAATTAGAGGACAGTTGATTCTAAAGACGCCAAGAGTTTCACAAAAACTGCCTTAAATCCGCAGGTCTGGCAGTTAAGTCAATAGCGCTCTCAAAACAAAACGATTCTCCAACTGCGCGCTCTCCTTTAAAAATTCGCGTCGTCCAAACCAATGCAAGTAGCAACTTGAAAGTTTCACGTGCTTTACAAGACACTCAGTTCTCAATATACCAAAAGCTTCACAACAATAGCCATAAATCGTGAGCTTTGTCAGTTCAGTAAATATTGATATCAAAATGAAACTTTTTGCCCAACTGCATTCTCACCTTTAAAAATTTACCGCGTCCATACAAAACCAAGTATCAACTGAAATTTTCACGTTAATTAGAAGACAGTTGATTCTAAAGACGCCAAGAGTTTCACAAAAACGGCCTTAAATCCTCAGGTCTGGCAGTTAAGTGAATATCGCTCTCAAAACAAAACTTTTCTCCAACTGCGCGCTCTCCTTTAAAAATTCGCGTCGTCCAAACCAAAGCAAGTAGCAACTTGAAATTTTCACGTTCTTTACAAGACACTCGTTTCTAGATATGCTGAAAGCTTCACAAGAATAGCCCTAAATCGTGAGCTTTGTCAGTTCAGTAAATATTGATTTTGAAATGATACTATTAGCCCAACTGCATTCCCACCTTTAAAAGTTTGCCGCGTCCACACGAAAACAAGTAGCAACTTGAAGTTTTTACCCTCTTTACGAGACGCTTGGTTGTAAAGATCACGAAGAAAGTTTTACAAAAATCGTCCTGAATACTGATCTTTTCGGTTCCGTAAAACACCGCTCGAAATGAAACATTGTACCCAACTGCATTTTCACCTTGAAAAATTTGCCCCGTCCACACAAAACCAAGTACAACTTAAAATTTTCACATTAATTAGAGGACAGTTGATTCTAAAGACGCCAAGAGTTTCACAAAAACTGCCTTAAATCCGCAGGTGTGGCAGTTAATTGAATATCGCTCTCAAAAAAAAACTTTTATCAAACTGCGCTCTTCTTTAAAAATTCGCGTCGTCCAAACAAATGCAAGTAGCAACTTGAAATTTTCACGTGCTTTACAAGACACTCAGTTCTCAATATACCAAAAGCTTCACAACAATAGCCCTAAATCGTGAGCTTTGTCAGTTCAGTAAATATTGATTTCAAAATGAAACTTTTTGTCCAACTGCATTCTCACCTTTAAAAATGTGCCGCGTCCACACAAAACCAAGTGCCAACTTGAAATTTTCACGTTAATTAGAGGACAGTTGATTCTAAAGACGCCCAGAGTTTTACAAAAAGTGCCTTAAATCCTCAGGTCTGGCAGTTATGTGAATATCGCTCTCAAAACAAAACTTTTCTCCAACTGCGCGCTCTCCTTTAAAAATTCGCGTCGTCCAAACCAAAGCAAGTAGCAACTTGAAATTTT